AGGAATGATGTTACAGGGCTATGGTAAAAATGAAGTAACAAAGTATCTTCATTTTACCTCTGAGATTTGCCTGAGTAGGCATTCAGTGCAGGATACTTTCTTTTATCCCCCAACCCCGCCCCTTTCCTGACCTAGCAACGCAAGGCAGGTACAACTCATGGCCAAGTAAAGGAGTTTGGGGAGAATTCCCCCTTGTTTGGCTTTAGTGCTTTCTCTATGAACTTTTATAACGTCTTCAGATGGCCAGAGCTGTGAGGAGTTAACATAGAACCAGGAATTTACAGAGAGGATGTGAGACACAAGACTTCTAGGAGGCCACAGTGGGAAGTTTAGAGAAACAAATGCACATGTCATGCAATGATTAAAACATACAGTACTGTTAGAAGGTAGTGGTTCTCTGAGTATGGTCCTCAGATCAGTGGCATCAGAAAAACCTGGGAACTTGTCAGAAATGCAGATTTTAAGTGCCTCACACCTCAGACCTACTGACCCAGAAACCTGGAGTGTGGCCTAGCAATCTAGTTTAACAGGCTCTCCAGGTGATTCTCAGGCACACTAAAGTTTAAAAACCATTAACTATTCTGTTATTAAAGCATATTGTAGTATCTTGATAAGAGAATTAAAGTATTAACTATACATTAAATTATAATACAAAGTTAAATATGTAAAGGTATTATAAGCTAAAATTTCATTTAATTCCTACTAAACATTCATTTCAATACAAATGATATGCAGATAAGGCCAATCCATCTTTTCACTGGCATTACTTTCTAAATAACCTGCTGCTGAGTTTTCAATATGTAAAATAATTGAAACTTTGTAATTCTAATTAGAAGTAAACCCTCATCTCTACAACCCATATAGAAATAATTACAAACATGAGGGGTCAGGAACCTTTAAGTGTCAGCTACCAAGCCAGCAACTTCCATGTCTTCTGGGTGGGTATGAGAGAGGAAGGGGAGTGAAGAAGGCAAGTGGCATCTTCCATGGGCGGGCAGACAAGCCCTGAGCCACAGGCAGTGGGAAGTGACTTGGTGCAGCACCAGATGGTGCAGTAGGCTTGTAAATCGCGGTCTGCACTAATTTGGATTAAAATCACCACCACCACCACCAAAAGTAGCTTTAATTCTGAAGGGGAGAAAGAAGATAGAAGCAAACAAATGAAGGCCTAAGGCCTCAACCAAGGCAATAATATACAGGAGTCAACATGCAGAAATGAGCTAAAAGTCAAAGAATGCACAGACGTGGGACAGCCTGAATGTTCAAGGCTTTCAGGAAAAGCCCATGTTCTTTTTTCTGACTCTGGCAGTAACTAGCCTCTGAGAATGAGGAGGTCATATAGAACTCCTATGGTCCTCAGTTTCTTTATTCACAAACTGAGGTCTTTTAGGCCTGATCCAGATCTAAGATCTGAGATTCAACAAAGTAAGGTCTTACTATGTGTTTAAAATTTTACTGTTAAATATCACAGGATAAGTAATTGATCAAAGCAACTAAACACACACACATACTCCAACATTTTACCTCATCAGGACCAACATACAAATTGAATCATTAACAGTCATTTTTATACAGCTAGACCAACTATCAGACTACAGTCGGGTATAAACTATGCTTCATGCTTCTAAGCGGACATACGTATTTGGGTCTTGAGCTGTGCTTTGGCAAAACTGCCCAACGTGCAATAACATGTCCATTGTTAAATGTAGGTTCATATTTATTGTTCTAATCTGATGAGGAAACACAATATCCTCTAAAAATTATTTATAAGAACGCACATAGGTAAGTAAATTCACATAAGCCTTATATACTCAAAACCCAAAGGCATGTAAGATATGAATTGAAGACCAACCTCTGTCCTGTGGCATTGGTGACTGGCTCAAGGCAGGATGGGAACTGGATTCTGACTGGCTCCCAGGTGGCTGAGGAGGCATCTGACTGCCTGTAAAACACAGAAGGGGAAGAGGGATGGGGAACCTTTTGCTTAATATTGCAATTGTGCAAAATCAAGGCATAATTAAATTTATTTACTCTTCATAATCACAAGAGGTTATGGCTCCACAATGAAAAAGATCTAGCTCAAAGACTGATATTTTACCCTTTCTTGGCAAAATGAAGAGGAAACATGCATAACCACATTTATCACATGCCCTTCTGAAAAGTTCAATTTCTGACTGAATGAGTTCCCAAGTTCACAGACAAATCAATCTGTAGGCGAAATCTCCTGACACACATGTCTACAGTGCATTTAACAAAATCTAAGACTGATGGATTAAACTCATCTTCCTGAGTTTAAATTACTCTCTAAGTGGGCAGGCATACATAGTGGCCAACAATTTTTCATTGGTAACATTTATTAAATATAGTAATAAAACTGACTTCTAAAAAATCTTTATAATTAGTTAGAGATTTTTTTAACATAAACTTGGAAGAAAACCTCAACTAAAAAACATAAAATATACTGCTATAAAATACAGCGTACATTATCACTAAAGAAGAAATATTATTTTGCATCTCTTTTGATCTTTATTGCTAATACAACAGTAGTATCTATTTGATTTCCAGTTATTTAATTTTTGCTCTGTTTGTCTTTTCAAACTATAATGTAAGCTCCTTGAGACAGGAATCACATCTTTTACTCCTTTAACTCCTCCATTAGCATAACAAATATTTAATACATTTTTGTTATTTAATAGCCCTTAATCCAAGAATATGAATTAAAGGAAAATATACTATTTACTTTATTAATTAAAGCAAAACAATGAATCATGTGACAGCTAGAGATAGGACTTTGAATGAAATTTAAGAATATGAGTCACTTGACAACTCAACTTACTTTCCGCCTCAGCAGTTTAGGTACATTTCTAAGACTAAAAGTATTATGGAATAAAAATGGCATGAACTTAGCACAATCCTCAAAGCACTAGCTCTCATGGCATGAGCACCAAGTTATTTTCTCTTCTAACCCCCCACTTTCCTAAAATAACTGAAAAGAGACAAACACACACATACACATATACACATGCAAATATACGTATCTCCCAGCATAGCCCTCTGGGATGGTAGTCTGTGATCACGCTAGATCAAGCTAACTGCTTTGATACCATACGATCTACTCTTGCACAGTTTCGTCTATTGCTAAAAGGAATCACAATTACTGAGTAGAGAAGGAAATTAATGTACTGAAGATTTCCACCAGTTCACCCAGGTAATGGTCATGATGCAGAGCCTGGTGTTTTACACTGAAAACGGCCCTCTTGTGTTTCTACCTGATGGCATCTCTGTTAGGCCAGGCAGCCTGAGTACAGACCAGGACCAGGATGGTCTCTCAGGACGGCGTGTCATTACCAACTCTAATGACAGCTATATCTGTGACAGCCAGAGAGGCAGGAAGGTGATCTTCTATCAGATAACAGGTATAAAGAGTTGTAAAAATACAACTATAAAAAATTCTCAACTGTTTTTGGGAGTTTAAACTTCTCACTTTTAGAAAAGAATGTATAACTGATGAATGTATTTCTGAGTGCTGCTGGATTCAGCTGCCCCTCTCATTCTTAGATAAAGTGAAAACCAAGACCTGAATTTACAGACAGTCAGAAATGTGCTGTAAAGCCAGTAAGAACTGCTCTTAATTTAGAGCCACAACTAGTAAGATGAAAGACCTAGGCAAACAGCGCAGAGTTTGTTTAGCCATTCATTTACCCTTAGGCATCTGCAGTAAATCAGTATTAGTATCAAATAACTCTATACAAAGTAAAAAAAAACCACTTACAAAAAATATATATATAAAGTGAAAACAACCTCAAGGGTAAACACTGCCATCCACTTGGCCACAGAGACACAAAAGTTGCTGTGTGTCCACTCAGGGTCATGCGCTTCCTATGAAACACCCGAAGGCCCCCAAGCTCCAGTCCATTTAGAAATTTAAAGCACTCTGCAGCCAAATACTGACTTTTTAAAATGTCACTGGGGAATCAGCTGCAGTAAGACAGTGAGTGCTCACATTATAATGATTGTTTCTGCATGACAGACTGGATTCATAGACTCATGACAGTAAAAACAAACAGTGATTCTACGTTAATACAGGACACCACTCCTGACACTGTGCATGCCCCAGGCACTGCTCTCATATACAATATTTCAAGTAAAAATAAAAAAGGCTGTAAGAAACCCATCATGAATTCATAAAATACTGCCATATCCAAGCAGTACGACTGGTTGTCTGGTATAATTCTAAGACAGATCTCTCTTTAAAGCAATGAGAGAATTCATTTTCTAAATGCACCCTTTAAAGAAACAAACAAGAGCCTTTTCATGGTAAAGATAGATTCTCTCAAGCTGTTTTAAATTCTCCACTTGCATTTACCCCCTATCTTTCCATCAGTAGTTTCATAGTTACTGAGAAATAGCTTCATCCTCCATAAGCACAGATATAAGCAAAGTCATAGCAGATGATGAATCAGAAAGTATGTTTGAGAAACAAAACACAGAAGACTCATTTCTGTCCATTGTCCATACAAAAAAGAAAATTCAGAGCCCTCTGAACCAAATGAATTGAGTAAAGACCTTCAACACATGGGTTTTTATGTGACATATGTTTGTTGTAAGTAAAACCTTTTAAACAAAGCTGGTAAAAGAGAATATTACCATGTGTAGCGAACAAACCAAATTTATGAGAAGGCTTTAACATTAAAACTGAGTTTTTAAAGAAATCGTTTTCCCCCCTCATCTATGTCTATAATGATGTAGGTACAATGGGAAAGAAAAGCTGGAAAAAACTATCCTGTGAGTTAGAATAAATTTCCACCACTTCACACCTATGTATTTATTTTTCAATGACCTAGTGCACAATATTGTCCAAAATTTTGATGCAACAAACTAAAAAATGAAATATCAGTAAGTCATCTGAATTTCTACTTTTGCTGACAAAATTCCCAGAACAATTTTATAACTTTTATTTAAAAACTTTAATGTTTAATTATAGACTTAGAAAAAAGTTATAAATTTAGTAAGGGAGTTGCCTTATATCCCTTAGCTCACCCCCTAACCCCAAGAGGTCACATCTTATATAACCTTTATCTAAGTATCAAGAGGAACTTAAGATGGTACAATGTTATTAATTAAAGATACTTGAATTTCACCAAGTTTTCCACTTAATGTTTCTTTTCCATTTTAGGGTCTCACATTGCATTTAGGTGTTTTTCCTCCTTAGTCTCCTCCAGTCTATAAAAGACCCTCAGTCTTTCCTTATATTTTATGACCTTGATGCTTAAAAAAAAAAACAGAAGTATAGTTGATTTACAATGTTGTGTTCGTTTCAGGTGTACAGCAAAGTGATTCAGTTATATCTTCTTCAGATTTTTTTCCATGATAGTTTATTACAAGATAAATAGATACTGAGTATAGTTCCCTGTGCTATACAGTAGGTCCTTGCTGGTTATCTATTTTATATATAATAGTGTATATATAATAATCCCAAACTCCTAATTTATCCCTACCCCTTATCCTTTGGTAACCGTAAGTTTGTTTTCTATGTCTGTGAGTCTGTTTCTGCTTTGTAAAT